TTGTGTGGACTGCGGGGGGGGGACCATGGAAGTCCCCAAGTGACCACAGTGGGTACAAGGGGACCAGGAGACTGTTGAGATGGTGGTGGGGACCATAACGGGCCCTGAGGAACACAGAGGGGTCCCTGGAGAACCCCTAGGCCTCTTGGGGGACCTCACGGGCACTCGATGTCCCCCCCCCGGCCTTCAGGACGCAGTGAAGATTATGGCGAAGGACCTGGTGCGGACGCGACGCTACGTGAAGAAGTTCATCACCATGAGGGCCAATGTCCAGGCCGTGTCCCTCAAGATCCAGACCCTCAAGTCCAACAACTCCATGGCCCAGGCCATGAAGGGCGTCACCAAGGCCATGGCCACCATGAACCGGCAGGTGGGTGCCCGTGGGGATGTCCCTAAGGCTGTGGCCACTCTGAGATGCTCCCATGGGGATTTTCCCAAGGCTGCGACCACCCTGAGCTGCCCTGGGGTGGCCATGGGGATGTCCTTGAGAACGTGGCCACCATCAGCTGCCAGTGGCTATGAGGACATCCCAAAGACTGTGGCCACCACAAGCTGCCCCAGGGGAGACCCCAAGGCTGTGGCCACCACAGGTTGCCCTGGGCTGCCCATGAAGATGTCGCCAAGACCATGGCTACCACCAGCTGCTTGAGGGGAACACCCCTGTGGCCATGGCCACCACAAGCTGCTTGGGGTGGCCGTGAAGATGTCTGTGACCATAAGCTGGCCCAGGGGATGTCCCTAAGTCTGTGGCCACCAGAAACCACTTGAGGTGGGCATAGGGACGTCCCCAAGAACGTAGCCACCACAAACCACCCGGGGTGGCCGTGGGGACATCCCCAAGGGTGTAGCCACCATGAAGTGGCCATGGGGACTTCCCCGTGTCCCTGTGTGCCACGTGCTGCGTTCTCGTGTCCCCCCAGCTGAAGCTGCCGCAGATCCAGAAGATCATGATGGAGTTTGAGAAGCAGGCGGAGATTATGGACATGAAAGAGGAGCTGATGAACGACGCCATCGATGACGCCATGGGGGACGAGGACGATGAGGAGGAGAGGTGGGGGGCAGGGATGTGGTGGGGCAGAGGTGTGGGGTTGGGGGGGACGGGGACACGGGGGTGGGGGACACGGCGGGGATGCGTGGGAGAAGGATGTGGTGGGACAAAGATGGAGGAGACGGGGATGTGGGAGATAGGGACTGGGGACACACGGGGACAGGGGAAAGGAGAACATGGGGGAACGGGAGGCGGGGGGGCAAGG